TTTGACAGAGAGAGAGATAGCGAGAGAGGGAACATAAGCAGGGGGATTGGGAGAGGGAGCAGCAGGCTTCTGGCTGAGCAGGGAGCCCGATGTGGGGCTCGATCCCAGGACCCTGGGATCACGACCTGAGCCGAAGGCAGATGCTTAATGACTGAGCCACCCAGGCACCCCGTGTCTGACTTCTTTCACTCAGAATGATGATTTTGAGAATTCATCCACTGTGTTGCATGTATCAGTGATTAATTTGTTTTCATTGCCGGGTGGTATTCCAGTGTTTGGCTAAATCACATTTTACCAATGGATATTTATATTTTTTACAGTTTTTTTTACTCTTATGAATAAAGCTGCTATGAATGTTCATGTAAGTTGTTATATGGAAATATGTTTTTATTTCTCTGGGGAGTGGAATTGACTGGGTCACATGGTGAGCTTATGTTTAAATTTGTTAAGACTCACCCAGTTTTCCAAAGTGTTTTTTTTTTTTTTTTTTTTTTTAATATTCCCATCAACAATATGTGAGAGTTCTCGTTTCTCCAGAGCCTTGGCAACATTTGTTATTGTCAGTCTCCTTAATTTCAGCTATTCTAATGGATGTGTAATGATATCTCATTTAATATGCATTTACTTGATAATTAATAATCTTAAGTGGTTTTTAATATGCTTACTGGCATTCCTGATATTTTGTGAAATGTCTTCATGTATTTTGACCATTTTTTGTTTTGTTTGGTTTAAGATTTTAAATAATCTTTCCAACCAAGGTGGGGCTTGAACTTACAACTCCTAGATCAAGAGCCACATGCTCCACCCACGGAGCCAGCCAGGCACCCCTTGACCATTATTTTTTTTTTAACCATTCATTTTTGATTGGCTTCTTTGTTTTCTTATAAATGAGTCATAATTGTTATATAACTGGTTTTTTAGATTAAACTTTAGACTTTGGAGTAATTGTAGATTCATATGCTGTTTTAAGAAATAATACAAAGATATGCTATTATGCTATGTACCCTTTACCCAGTTTTCTTCAATGATAAACTGTAGTATAATATCACAGCAGGATGTTGACATTGATACAATCTACCAATCTTATCCAGATTCACCGGTTTTACTTGTACTTACTTGTGTGTGTGTCCTCTGTTCTGTTTTGTGTCGTGTATAGGCATCACAACAGTAAAGATACATAACTGTTCCATCTCGTGTTGCCCTTTTATGTCCACCTTTCCCTTTCTTGATCTTGAGGTGCAACAGCCACTGATCTTTCTCCATATATAGTTTTGTTATTTCACGAATGTTATGTAAATGAAATAATACAGTATATAACCTTTTATTTTACTTTTTTTTTTTTAAAGATTGTATTTATTTATTTTACAGAGAGTGAGAGAGGGAACACAAGCAGGGGGAGTGGAAGAGGGAGAAGCAGACTCCCCGCTGAGCAGGGAGCCCGATGTGGGGCTCGATCCCAGGACCCTGGGATCATGACCTGAGCCAAAGGCAGACACTTAACGACTGAGCCACCCAGGCGCCCCAGTACATAGCCTTTTAGAATTAACTTTTCTCACTCAGCATATTTCTGTGGAGATTAATCAGAGTTGTCTTATGTATCAATAGTTTATCATCCCTGCTGAGTAGTATTCATGCTGTGGATATACCACAGTTTGTTGAACCATTCGTCCATTGATGGACATCTGGGTTGTTTCCGTTTTGGCTAATAGGAATAAAAGCTGCTATGAATACCTGTACGCAGGTTTTTGTGTATCAGTTTCCATTTCCCAGAGGTAAATACCCAAGAGTGAAATTACTTGGTTGTATGGAAATTACAGGTTTAGTTCTATAAAATTGCCAAACTGCCAGAGTGGCTGTAACCTTTTAAATTCCCACCAGCAGTATATGAGTGATCCAGTTCCTCTCTGTCCTCAGTATCGTTAGGTGTTATTACTATTTTAAAATTTAACTTTCTTTCTTTCAAGAGAGAGCACGTGAGAGTGGGTGGAGGGGCAGAAGGAGAGGGAGAGAGAATCTTAAGCAGGCTGCACGCCCAGCGCAGAGCACAGCACGGGGCTCGATCTCATGATCCTGAGATCGTGACCTGAGCCGAAATCAAGAGTTGGTGCTTAACCAGCTGAGCCAAAATCAAGAGTTGGTGCCTAACCAGCTGAGCCACTCTAAAATTATTTTTTTATTTTAGATGAGAGCCATTCTGATATATGTGTAGTTATATCTTGCTGTCGTTTTAATTTGTATTTCCTTAATAGCTAATGAAATTGATTATCTTTTCATATGCTTTTTGCCATTTGTGTATCTCCCTTCAGTGAATTGTTTGTTGATGTCTATTTTGGTTTGCTAGGGCTGCCATAGAGAATGCCACAGAATTGGTGGCTTGATTAACAGAAATTTATTTCTCACTGTTCTAGAGGCTAGAAGTCTACCATCAGACTGAAGGTAGGTTTGGTTTCTCCTCAGGTCTCTCTCCTTGGCTTACAGGTGGCTGCCATCTTTCTGTATCCTCATGCTGTCCTGTCCTGTAGAATCCAAAAGTCTGACAGATTTCCTTCATTTTGTTCCTTCTCTCCCTTTTACTCCAAGATGGCAGTGTCTCTGTTGTATAATCCCATCTTTCTGGCTTCTGCTGTGACATCTGATTATATTCCTGAGTTGGCACCCATGATCTCTTGGTGAAATACTTTTCTAGCCACACTTTTGAAAAAGGTCTGATGATGAGTTCTTGTATTTTGCAATATGGATAGGCTGAAAATTTTCCAAATCTTCAAGTTCTAGTTCTTTTTTGCTTAACAGTCCTTCATCTTATATTTCTTTCTGACTTTTATCGTAAGAAACAAGGAGAAACCAGCCTGTGCCTTTAATACTTTGCTTAGAAATCTTGTCAGCTATATATCCAAGTTCAACACTTTTAACTTCCACTTTCCGTACAACACTAGGAGACAAGTTCTTGCCACTTTTTTTTAACAAGGTTTGCCTTTCCTCCAGTTTCTAATAACATGCTCTTCATTTCCATCAGAGATCTCATCATAATCGCCTTTAACATCCATGTTCCTACTAACGCTCTCTTCAAGGCAGTGTAGGTTCTTTTTTTTTTTTTTTTCTTTTTTAAATATGCACCTCCAAACTGTTCCAGCCTCTATCCATTACTTACTTCCAAAGCCACTTTCACATTTTTAGGTGTTATAGCAGCATTCTATTTCTGGGTACCAAAATCTATTGGTTTGTTATGGCTGCCATAACAAAATACTACAGACTGTGTGGTTTAAACAACAGAGATTTATTTCTCACAGTTTCTCACAGTTCTTCCAGGAGACTGGAATTCCCAGTTTGGTTACTCTTGAGGCCTCACTGCTTGGCTTACATTTGATTGTCTCCTTGCTGTGTCCTCACATGGCCTTTTCTTTGTGGGTGTGCACCAATGATGTCTGTCTCTCTTCTTAGGACACCAGTTTTACTGGATTAGAGCTCTACCCTTATGATCTTATTTAACCTTACTGATCTCTTTAAAGGCCCTAGTAAAGTCACCTTGGGGGTTGAGGAAACAGTTCAATCCATAGCAATGTTTTTGTCCCTTTTCTAATTGAATTTTTTTGTTAACTGTTGAATTTTGAAGTTTGAAATATATTCTGGGTATTAGTCCTTTATCATATATATATGCAGTATGGTTACAGATATTTTCTGCCAGTCTCTATTTTTTTTTCCTCTAAATGGGGAGGAAGAGTTTTAAATTTTGATGAGATCTAGTTTATCAGCATTCCCTTTTATGGACTGTACTTTAGTTGTCAAGTCTGAGAACTCTTTGCCTAGTTGTATAACTGTTTTAAAAATATGTCCTTCCATGTTGAAGGAAAAATGATTAGAGATTGCAAATGACACATTTTCTTTTGCTGGGGGAATTTGTGAATATGCTGGGAGAAGGTTCACTTAGAATAGGGGCAGATCAGTTGTGAGCAAAATAATTTGTTGGGAGGGGGCACCTGGGTGCCTCAGTCGGTTAAGCGTCTGCCTTTGCCTCTGCCCAGCATTTGGCTCCTTGCTCAGTGGCGAGTCTGCTTCTCTCTCTCTCCCTGTTCCTGCTGCTCCCCCTACTTGTGCTCTCTCTCTCTTTCTGTCAAATAAATAAATAAAATCTTAAAAAAAATTTGTTGGGGGATGGTTCTTTACGTTTTTCTTTTTTTCAGTTCTTCTCTGTAAGGCATTGATAGTTTTTGTTCTGCACTCTCTTTTAAGGATGCTTATATAACAATTAACTTTGGAAAATAGCAAATGTCTGTTTTATGTTACATGGTAGCATCGTCATCTGCTTGGTCAATCCAAATTGGAAACACCGGGTATCCTTACTGAGTGCCCCAATCTCATTCTTCACAGTCACTGCATCCCACTGATTTCAACTTTTAGGTAGCTCTTGTGTCTTTCCTACGTTTGCATCCTTATTACTAACTGCTCTGGTTCATCACCTTATCTTCTCATTTAAGTGTTAAAATTGCCTTTACATAATTGTTTGATTAGGGAGTATCACTGGGGGTTTCCCTTCATGTTTATGTTTTTTTTTTGGGGGGGGGTGGGCGGAGGAGAGGTAGGGATTAAAAAGGGATGGTGTGAGTGACAGTCTTTCTTTAATGAGTGTTCTTTCTTGAGAAAAGAAAATTCTTACTTTCTGGCTTATGAAAATATTTTAGTGGTGATTCAAAGATTTTTCTTTTTTTTTTTTTCTCATGATTATGCAGAAGAGATTTTGAGATGAGAGAATCTTTATTCCTATGTTCATATAGAAATATTTTGCCCAGAAGTGAGGTACAATTTTATAGTTTTGTATGATTGATGGGCTTCATTACAATGTAGCACTTCAATATTTGTAGAGTAGATGAAAAATATATATTTAATTACATGTAAGAATGCAGTTTTCTAATATTGTTCATTATTTCTAATTTTTAAGAAATATTTTAATAGCTATATAATGTAAAAAATTGAAATAATGGAATTTTTTTCTTTTTTTTATATAGGAATGAAGATCTAAAGCAAATGTTGGAGAGCAACAAAGATTCTGCTAAGTTGGATGCTATGAAACGGATTGTTGGGGTAGGTAAAATAGATCATTTCAATTTTGGAAAAGGGACATGTAGTGATTATATTAAATATGTGTTAAATAATATATTAAGTACCAAATCAAACATCTCATTTTCCCTTTATATTAATATTTCCTGTCTAAAATGTTTTGGAAGAAGTTTGGAGTGTCACAGTTCAGATACTTGAGTTTTGTTTTTGTTTTTGTTTTCAGAACTTGAGTTTTAATTCCGTCTTTTCTGTGTTCTAATTTCCCTATCTCTAATATCAAGATATTTCTCCTCTGAGATAGAAAGAAGTAATCATTTTGAAGACAAAATAGGATTATATACAACAATATTTTGACTTCTTACATGGAGGGATTGTAGATTAGCTGAAGGATTTTCTTGTGTCATTTAATGGCCTAAAAATTGTGAGCATTCTTCTGTGTTTCAAATTCCCTTGCTACCAATACCAATGCTTTATTCAATTTAGTATCATAGAAGTTCTTTTTTATTTTATTTTATTTTATTTATTTGAGAGAGAGAGCGCACAAGCAGGGGTGGGGGCAGAGGGAGAGGGAGAAGCAGACTCCCCGCTGAGCAGGGAGCCCAATGAAGGGCTTGATCCCAGGACCCTGAGATCAGGGCCCAAGCCGAAGGCAGACGCTTAACCGATTGAGCCACTCAGATGCCCCGTATCATAGAAGTGCTAATGAATATTAGTAAATGCAAGAACATTCACCAGTTTTCAGTTGTAATGTAAAATTCAAACAATTGACTGAAAGTTATTAGAATCATTTGTCAGAGAGCTAAAAATATAATGCAATTCCTAATTATATATGAAATTTTTAATAAAATATTTTCGCAGTTTGTATTATATGCACTCGAGGGTTTTTTTTGCATTCTTTTTTTTTTTTACATTCACAGTGAAAACACTGTTTAACTCAGTGGCTGTCTAATGCTAAAGAGTTTTGATTTTTTCTCAGTGGAATTAAATTCACAAAACCTGTCTTTCTCATTGCTACTGTGCTGTTCATCACCACCATTGCTGATTTTATTTGTCACATAGTTTTATATAATGTCAAAATGTAATATATTTGTATAATTGCACAAATAAACTCTTATAATAAGGTGACAACACAACTGAAACAATACTGTTTTCCAGCAGGAAATGCCACCATATGAGAGTTTGAAATATCCTTTCTTTTCTTGGTATATTAAATTCAAATCCCATTTATGAAAGATGATTATAGGTATCAATATGTTCATTTAAGGGTGACTTGTTATAAAAATCAGATTTATAAAAGTTAAGGACTAACTGTATCTGTAGAACACCTGCAGGTTACTTGATTCTTACATTCCGGTTTATGTCATTTGGTAATGTAGGGGACATGTTCAAGATTCTTTATAAATTTTTCAGTTGTTAATGTTAAGCTATATAAATAATTACATTTATGGACAGGTAGTTCTTGCTTTGCATGGCTTTGATAACACACAGATTTCAGTTAACACAGTTTAGTTAAATAACACCAATCCCACAACAACATGGTTCAAATTTCAGTTACCAGGGCATGTTAACATAGTAATTGTGTAATGTACAAACTTCACCAGTAACTCTTGAATTCACAGCTCACTATGTAGATAACAAATATACATCATGATCATTGACCAGTCATGTTACTTCTTTCAAAGTCTTTTATTGATTTGTCACTGTGTACATTACTTGGTGTATGTACAGACAGCAAAACATGTAGTTGTGTTCCCTCCTTGCTTCCTGGTGAGAAACCCACTTGACATTTTACAAAAATCGATAATGAAAGAGAGATTTGGTCAACAAAGATGAAAATGCGGCAAAGAAATAAAAAGTGATAACATTTGGGACACCTGGGTGGCACAGTCAGTTCAGCATCTACCTTCAACTTAGGTAATGATCCCAGGGTCCTGGGATCAAGTCCCTCATGGGGCTCCTTGCTCAGCGGAGAGCCTGCTTCTCCCTCTGCCTGCTGGTCCCCCTGCTTGTGCTCTCTCTCTGACAAATAAAATCTTTTTAAAAAAGTGGTAACATTGGAAATGAAAATCAGGTACAATGTAAATGGAGTTATAAAGAAATAGCCAACTGTGGGAATGGTGACATGGCCATTTTTTGAGAGACTCTAATTATGTAGCTGGAAGAATGTAGTGAAGGTGAGCTTTTCAACATAAATAAGGGAAATGGTTGTGATAAAAAGGATGAAGATATGCCCTCAGGATCTATCCATTTTGTCACAAATGGCAGGATTCCTTCTTTCTCATGGCTGAATAGTGTTCCATTATATCTATATATCTGTATCACCTTTATCCATTTATCTGTGGACAGATTCTTGGGTTGTTTCCGTATCTTGGCTACTGTGAATAATGCTGCAATGAACATGGGAGCATAGATATCTCTTTGAGATAGTGATTTTATTTCCTTTGGATATATACTGAGAAATGGGATTGCTGAATCATATGATAGTTCTATTTTTAATTTTTTTGAGCAGCCTCCATACTGTTTTCCATGGTGGCTGTACCAATTTACATTGCCACTAACAGTAGAAAGGATTCTCTTTTCTCTACATCCTTGCCATCACTTGTTATCTCTTGTCTTCTTGGTGATAGTTATTCTAAGAGGCTTGAAGTAATACTTCATTATAAATGTACACAATGTTATATGTCAATTATATCTCAATAAGTCTGAAAAAAGTTATTCTTCATTATACAGTGATGTAAATATATATGTAAATTTTCAAATAATATTGAGGCATAAAAAGTAAAAGTTTCATCTTCTAGTTAAATTTTAGAACCAAATTCTCAAGTTCTGTTAAAAATTGTTTTTGAACTTTGATTAGGATAATATGGAATTAATATATTCCCTTCTTTCTTCCCTCTTTCCCTGTCTTTCAGTAGCATTATGTTTATATTTTGTAGTTTTTATCATAGAGATCTTGTGCATTCCTTGTTAGATTCATTTCTATGTATTTTTAAATCTTGATGGCCATTATGAATGGTCCCCTTCATTATATTTTTAACATTAATTATTAATGGTATATAGGAAGACAAATGACTTTTTGTGTTCTGTATTTGGCCTCCTCAGTGAACTCTCTTCTTATCTCTAACAGTTTTTTAGTTTCCTATGCTTGGATTTTCTGGATAGATAATTGCGTCGGGAAATTATGGGAGATTTATATTTATTTTAAAATATTTTTAACTCATTTTTTTATATGTAGAAAAAGCCTACTGGGCTCTATGTTGGAATTGCGTTAACTCTGTAATAGATCAATTTTGGGAGAATTAACATTTTAACAGTATTTTGCCTTATGACCCATGATCATGATTCTATTTCTTCACTTGTTTAGGTCATCTTTAATTTCTCTCAATAGTGTATTATATTATAGTTTTTAGTGTTAAATTTTAAGTTGTATTATTTTGTTAATACTTTATCTAAATACTTTGTGTTTTTGAATGCTATTTATTGAATGATATATTTTAATTTTCAGTGAGCAATTAGTGTTTGCTAATTCCCCTTTTTATTAAGTAACTAATAGTTATTTTACTTGAAATTTTTTCTGTGAGCTGTTAAGAGCAATCATTTGTTCACCTTTACTTTTGTCCAGTTTTTTTTTTTTTTTTTTTAAGATTTTATTTATTTATTTGACAGAGAGAGACAGCGAGAGAGGGAACACAAGCAGGGGGAGTGGGAGAGGGAGAAGCAGGCTTCCCGCCGAGCAGGGAGCCTGATGCGGGGCTCGATCCCAGGACTCTGGGATCATGACCTGAGCCGAAGGCAGACGCTTAACGACTGAGCCACCCAGGTGCCCCTACTTTTGTCCAGTTTTTAATTTGATTTCTAAATAGTACCATATTTCTATGTGGAAGCTTTTAAAATCATTTAGAAATTTTTCTGTTCGTGTGTGTGTGTGTGTATCATTTCAAAACATCTTTTGGCTAGAAGTAGCTTCCTGGAGGTCATTCAGTCAGAATTTTATATTGGCTTCAAAGTTTCTTGTAGTTTCTTAATGTAAATTTTAAATTTAAATTTCTCTTTATAATTTATATTTCATGAGACCTGAAAATGGGTTTTTATCACTCTATACAATTGCAGAGTAGTTTTCAGGTCTTTTCATCATTTAAAGATTTCTGAATTTAATCTGCCAAAATTTTAAATGTTGGGTATTTTACTACATTATTTTCTAAAATATATCGAAGTGCTGGCAATGCATATCTAACTATCTTTCATAGTTGGTAATCCTGTGATTCAGTAGAGAATCTTTTCAGCAACATCTAACATTGAGAAACCATAATGATAGTTACAGTTTATTTTATTATCTTTCTTTGGTGATATCTGAGACTTAGAATCATGTTTCCAATGTTTCATATATTAAGCAAAGTCTCATCTGTACCAGAGCATCCTTAGGGGAGAAAAGCTGCCTACTTCAAAATCCTATGGTCACTTATTACACAGCAGGACTCAAGTTGAAGCACTTATACATTATTTTTCTTAATATTTCTGAAAAATATGTGTCTAATGTTTATTTCACATGTCCCATGTTTTATCTTGGCTTGGTGAAATGTGGTGGACTAAGGAGAATTTGTAATGTATTGTTTCATATAGTGAATTAGTAATAAGCTTTTTAGCTAAAATACTGTTGAGTTGACTATCTGGAGTCCTTGAAGGAATGGAATATCGAAATCTTCGGTGTATTGAATCTTTGGTGTATTTTCTTTTAGCAGGTGTTAGATGTTGAAGGTCTTCCTCACATTAATTTACTTGGCTTTCTAGTTATGGGATAATGAGCAAATCTCATGATGAAATTCTTAAAATTCCTAGAGTTTTGTTATCTTATTTCATAGTCATACATATTCCAAGGTATTTGGTTGGATATTATTGACCCTAAGAAAATTAAAAGTAGTTTCAAAGTTCCAGATGTTTTTGTAAATATTTTTTAAAGGATCTTAAGCCAAATACAAATGGTACATTATTATTGTGGAAAAAATGAGAAAGCCCATTTAAGAAGA